TTCAGTGCATCAGTGATCTCCAGGCCATGCGAGTTTTGTCGGTGGAAACAATAGTGTTCGGTGCGGTGAATTTATAGATGGCCATCTGGGCCGCCCGGCACGGCACGGCCCAAGCCTGGCCGTGCCTGGGCCGAGGCTTGTCGAGCCGGCACGGCCCGACCGATACACCGGGCCGTGCCGTGCCAGCCCATGGGTGGCATACAAGGCCCAGGCATGGCCCAATACTACTCGGGCCGTGCCGAAGTTACGTGGCCCATCGTGCTTCCTCACAGAAAAAGTCTATTTTTGGTCCCTCAACTCTGTCGGCTATGTTTAAATGGCTGGAACATAAGTCTATTTTGTGTACCTCTTGTCTTGGGCCTTGCCTTATACGATTATTTAAGTCTATTTTGCATCCCTATATTTTTTTTATTTGATCGAGCAGTGCTGGGCTGGCCCACCATGCCAAGGGTGCAACCCAGGCATGGCCCGGTTGTCGGGCCGGGCCGGCATGGGCACGACCCCAGTCGGGTCATGCCGTGCTTGGGCCGGGCCAAATTTGCGAGCTTTGGGCCAGGCCGTGGGCCTTGGGCCATATGGCCATTTATAGGTGGATTGAATGGTTGATTGTCGATCTCATATGCCACAGGTACTGTTGCTTCAAATATTTGATAGCAAGATTTGGCAGCCCGGGTCGGCACGCACGCCGCCTCGTCTCCCCGCCCGCTCGTCGGTCGTTCTCCCCATCGGCCACCACCCGTCCCGGCGCCTCTTCTCCCCGCCGGTTGCCACTGTCGACGACATCCCGGCGCGTTCCCCATCTGTCGGTCGCCGCACGCTCGCCCGCTTGCCGCCACCGCCGCTCCGCTTCGCCGGCCTCCGCATGCTAGCACGCCGCCTCCGCCGGCCGCCGCTCAGCCCCGCTCACCACCCGATCATCTGCTACCTACCCGTCGGCCGGCCTGCGAGAGAAAAGTGCGAGAGAGAGAGGGGGGAGGAAGGGAGAGAAGAGGGGAAAGGGGAGTTGACGTGGCATGCTGACATGTGGGGCCCACGCACCACGTAGGCTAAAACCGGGGTCAAAACCACCGAAGGATCTCGAGTGACCGGTTTTGTATAGTTAAGGGACCCCGTATATCTGGTTGCAAGGACATTTTTTATCCCGATAACAAGTTGAGGGACCTTCGGTGTACTTTTTCCTACGGTGTTTGTGTGCTTTTATGGGCCACCTGGTCTTAGTCCATGGACTTGCAGATTAACGGGGAGGCCTGCATTATTGGATCAGCTGGTCTTAGCATTATTGAAACGATTTTGCTTATTGAAATTTTCATGCTCATTGATTTTAGAGTGTAATATTTGAAAATTTTGTAGTGGATGCATATGAGATTTCCGGAGCTACTTTTGGGTCTTGGTTTCATGAGCATATGCTAAATATAAAGTTCTTTTTGTTTCTTCACTTTGTGCTACAATTAGTCCTATTAATACTAAGTGTTACAGAGATTCAAAAAATACTAACTGTTACATGGATTAAGGCCCAACAGACTCCCGTTGATGCAATGGAGCATTTTTTTTCTAGCCTAATATTAGGAGTAAAAAAAAGAGATATTCTTGAGAAAATATGTCCATACTGGTAGATACGCAGGAATGCAGTGTTTCAAATTTCGAAACTACGGTTTCTGCCGACGGGGGGTGAAAGAACTGAAATTTCAGAAAATTAGGATTTTTTTTCTAACGAAATTTTTTGAAATTTTGACTGATTTTTAATGGATTTGAATAAAATTTGACCAAATTCACAAAAATTTGCAAAAAACCGAAAGTTTCGGACGAGATATGAGCATTTCGGTGGGAGCGAATTTCGGAAATTTCGAACCGAAATTTCAAACCTTGCAGGAATATGTGTCCTGCTGTGTCACTAAAATTGAGAAAAAAAATTCGTTTCGAAAAGAAAAACGAGTTGTTAAATCTTGGTTGTGACTTAATATCAGCAAAATATGGAATTCGTTAGCTTGCATAAAAAAAATCAGTTAGAGAACCACTAGGGTAGGGTAGTTATATATGGTCGTTGAATTGTTGGGTGGATCTGCCAATAGCATTCTTTCGTCCACCTCATGGTCCTAAATTAATTAAAACCAAGAGTAGATTCCGCTTAACACACATGATGTGTGACGTTTGCCATTTCTGAATTTTCTGATACGTGTTGAAGTCTTCGATTGTAACCACCAATTAGAGATAAGATATTTATTTTTTTCGCCGAACCCATACACCTAAGCATACATACGCGTGTGAATATCCTTTACAACCGACCGTCCATGAAAAATCTTCTGTAACTCCTTTTCTCTTTCAATATTAATACCATTTGGATGACCGTTCTTCGATCATCCGGCAAAATAGTACTACCTCCATATTTTAATGTATGACGCCGTTGATTTTTTATCCAACGTTTGATCATTCGTATTATTTAAAAAATTTATGTAATTATCATTTATTTTATTGTGACTTGATTCATCATCAAATGTTCTTTAAGCATGATATAAATATTTTCATATTTGCACAAAAAATTTGAATAAAATGAATGGTCAAACGCTGGTTAAAAAGTCAACAGCGTCATACATTAAAATATGAAAGAAGTATCCTTTACACATTAATATTATTATAGGCATCAAACATCAAGTGCATTGCCAAAACACGGACACACATATATATACCAAATTTGATCGATGATTTGACTTGACAGTTGAAATTGAATAGTCCCATATATAAACACACCATACAACTAACCATTAGGCTAAAGACAAGCTTCGAGAGCAAGAGATTTTGCTAACTATTTATATTTCATGTCTTTTGTATTCATACTAGTACGGTTTTTAAGGGTAACTAAGGAACGATATACCGTTTAGCCAACGAAACACTTTTAGGTATTAATGTCAGCAGGATATTTTTAGGTACCAAATTTGATACTCGTAGATACCAAGTTTTTCGGTACCTAGATACCATGGTAAGCATGATACCTTAGATACCATTTTGATATTAGTACGTATTAGAGATACCAGACCTAGTATGCTAATGCTCAGAAAATAAACTAAAGGCCAGATTTGCCAAATGACACGCAAAAAACGTTTAATTGGCTGAGAGACACTGCGAAAACATGACACGGCTGATTGACCCTACAAAAAAACGTGTAATTGGCCGTAGGATACAAGTCGTATTATTTTATTATATTTCCGGGACAAAAGGGATGAGATATTTATCTAAATGCATGGATTGCCCCTTCTCTTTCTTTAAACACCGGTGGGACCCACGTATCATGGACAGTGTATGTTTAATCTAATTTTTAATAGGCAAAATCTAATTCGCGCGCGCTCTCTGTTTTGCCTTATCGCGCGACACGCTCATCAGTTGTCCGATCCCATAAGTGCTGATGTGTCCGTACATGGCTTGGTGATTCACGGACGTGGCATCATCCAGGAATCCAAATTAGAAGCCATGTGATGCTCTACGCTACGTCGACTTCAAAAATAATTTTCTCTTAAACTAATCATCCGATCTACGATCCGATTACACCGTTGTGTTCGTAAGAATTGAATCTTTATAATAAGATCTCACATGATTATATTTTGATGAAAAAATAGAAATTACTTTTAAAATATATTTAAATTACTTTTAGATTTCAATAAATTACTTCTTAGACCCATAAAAGTAAATTCAATAAAGCCTAAAAGTAATTTACATATATTATAGAAGTAACTTAAAAAAAGAAGAAAGTAACTTTATCACGACATTAAAAGTAAATCCGTTATGGAGGTAAAAACATGAGTCTATATAGAAATTAAATTTAATCAGCATAAATTACATAATTGACTAAAAATGATTATAAAATAAACAACTCACAACATGAATGTATAGATTTCTTTTAATGTCGTAACAAGTTACTTCACTTTTGTTTCAAGTTACTTCTATAATATAGCTAAATTACTTTCAAGCTTTATTGAATTACTTTTATGACTAAGAAGTAATTTAATAAAATCTAAAAGTAATTTAGATATATTATAAAAGTAATTTCTATTTTTTCATAAAAATATAGTCATGTGAGATTTTGTTATAAAGATTTAATTGTTATGAACACAATGGTGTAATCGGATCGTAAATCGGATGAGTAATCTAAGAGAAAATTCCATAAGAAGAAAAAAAAATACATTCACTTTTGAGTATACTAGTAGCAACTAGATATGAGATTGAGGTATCTAGTTATGACCATAGAGAGAATGGTCTCGTTATAGACAGTGTCCTTTTTAATAGGTTTTAACCACCTGGTCTCACGCGGCATGGGCCTACATCTCTCTCCTATCCTTCTTCCTCACGCACGCGGCGGAAAAAGCGGCGGCGCTCCTCCAGGGTCTCACCGCCGGCGACGACAAGGCGCGGCGGCTACCATACCTAAGGCGCAACGGCAAGCGGTGGCACCGAGCTCGAGAGCAACACGACGCTGCAGCCGACGAGGACGGCGAGGGAGATGTTGAGCAGGATGAGGAGCTGGCGGTTCTCGGCGAGTGAGAGGCTGAGAGCGACCTCCCTTCCTCCTCCGGTCCCTGCCTCGTGAGCAGCCCATCTGCACTGCCTTCTGCAGCAGCACCGTGGCGGACAGGTGCGCAGCGGCGGCGCGTCGGTGGCGCGGACGTGGCCGAGCTCTGCGCCGTGGCGGCGGCGGCGTTGCAGAGCGGCTGCAGCAGCGGGTGGTGGTGGTCGTAGGGCATCGTCGGCCACGGCGTTGCTGCTGCTAGCTGTTGTTGTTGGGCATCGTTCTGCACTAGCTACTGTTGCTGCTGCTACACTAGCTGCTGTTGCTGTTGCTGTTGGTGTGGCGACGGCATGAAATCATGGTGCTGCTGCTCCTGCAGCGCGGCGAGCTCCTGGTGCACCATGACCGGCCGAGCCATCACCACCGCTGTCGCTTCCCAACGCCACAACCAGCCGAAGCCGCCGCCGCCGTCACCAGCCACCGTTGAAGCAGAAGCCGCTTGCCCGCCACCGCCACCAGCCGTTGTCGAAGAAGAAGTCGGTCGCCTGCCGCCGCCGCCGCCGTCACCATCGGTAGCCTAGAGTTAAGTTGGATGGAGATTTCGGGTACATGTTACTTAGGCCGAGGGCATTTATGTCCTTTTGAAATTTCTATCTCCTCTTTTTCACTGAAAATGATAAAATATTGTCTCAGATTTACTATAGCTAATTACACAAATTTTGTGGTGCCTATTAGTAGTGTCGCGTTTTTTGAGTGTCTTCTAGCTAATTACATAGCTTAGCTTTTAGATGTCCGTGGCAAATTTTGCCTGATGCTTCTTTTTTTTTTTTACTAATTAGTTTCTTTATCTTCCTAAGTTCCAAGCTGGGCCTTAATTTTCATTGCACATGGCATCTGCTTTCCATTCTCAAACTGCAAAGCGACGCGACGCGGCACGACACCAAAAATAAGTAGAAGCGTACTCCATACTCTGCACTCAACCATGGCGGAGGCGGCCACCGGTGCAACTGACACGTCACTGCCGCCGCCGCCGCCGCACGTCGTCCTGATGGCCAGCCCCGGCGCCGGCCACCTCATCCCGCTGGCCGAGTTGGCGAGGCGGCTCGTGTCCGACCACGGCTTCGCGGTCACCGTCGTCACGATCGCCAGCCTCTCCGACCCGGCCACCGACGCCGCCGTGCTCTCCTCGCTGCCGGCCTCCGTGGCCACCGCCGTGCTCCCGCCCGTCGCCCTCGACGACCTCCCGGCGGACATCGGCTTCGGCTCCGTGATGTTCGAGCTCGTCCGCCGCTCCGTCCCGCACCTCCGCCCGCTCGTCGTCGGCTCCCCCGCCGCCGCGATCGTGTGCGACTTCTTCGGCACGCCGGCCCTGGCGCTCGCCGCTGAGCTCGGCGTGCCCGGGTACGTGTTCTTCCCGACCAGCATCAGCTTCATCTCCGTCGTGCGCAGCGTCGTGGAGCTCCACGACGGCGCCGCCGCCGGCGAGTACCGTGACCTCCCGGACCCGCTCGTGCTCCCCGGATGCGCGCCGCTCCGCCACGGCGACATCCCCGACGGGTTCCGGGATTCTGCCGATCCGGTCTACGCCTACGTGCTCGAGGAGGGGCGGCGATACGGCGGCGCCGACGGCTTCTTGGTGAACAGTTTCCCGGAGATGGAGCCGGGCGCCGCGGAAGCGTTCAGGCGAGACGGGGAGAACGGCGCGTTCCCGCCGGTGTACCTCGTCGGGCCGTTCGTCCGGCCAAGGTCCGACGAGGACGCCGACGAGTCGGCGTGCTTGGAGTGGCTGGACCGCCAGCCGGCGGGGTCGGTGGTGTACGTCTCCTTCGGCTCCGGCGGCGCGCTGTCCGTGGAGCAGACGCGCGAGCTCGCCGCCGGGCTGGAGATGAGCGGCCACAGGTTCCTCTGGGTGGTGCGCATGCCAAGAAAGGGCGGGCTCCTTTCCTCCATGGGCGCCAGCTACGGCAACCCGATGGACTTCCTCCCCGAGGGCTTCGTGGAGAGGACGAACGGGCGGGGCCTCGCCGTGGCGTCGTGGGCGCCGCAGGTGCGCGTGCTGGCGCACCCGGCGACGGCGGCGTTCGTGTCGCACTGCGGGTGGAACTCGGCGCTGGAGAGCGTGTCCTCCGGCGTGCCGATGATCGCGTGGCCGCTGCACGCCGAGCAGAAGATGAACGCGGCCATCCTGACGGAGGTAGCCGGGGTGGCGCTACCGCTAAGTCCGGTGGCGCCCGGCGGCGTGGTGTCGCGGGAGGAGGTGGCGGCGGCGGTGAAGGAGCTCATGGATCCAGGGGAGAAGGGGAGCGCCGCGCGTCGCCGGGCGAGGGAGCTGCAGGCGGCGGCGGCGGCGAGGGCGTGGTCGCCGGACGGGGCGTCGCGCCGCGCGCTCGAGGAGGTGGCCGGCAAGTGGAAGAACGCCGTGCATGAGGATCGTTGAGTCAGTCTTAGCCGGTGTCACTTTCGTTCGGTGAAATTTGGTCAAAAACTTGAAAGGTGATCACTCACTTTCGGAATTCGGATGTCAGCTGAGCCTTTCTTTCTAAAAGACATGTCAGATGCTTCATTTATTTTGGAAGAAGATTGATCCCAACACTAAATAAAGAATTTGAAGCTATTGTTGTGTGAAGACTTATAATTCGTGGTTCTAATCCTAATCTATGGACCAACTTGCGGCATACTCAGTACTCCCTCTAATTCAAAATGTTTAACATCAATAACTTTTTAGCATATGTTTGACCGTTCGTTTTATTAAAAAAATTGTGAAATATGTAAAACTATATTTACCAATGAATCAAATGATATGAAAAGAATAAATAATTATTTAAATTTTTTGAATAAGACGAATGGTCAAACAAATCAACGGTGTCAAATATTTTGAAACGGAGTGAGTATATGATAAGTGTAAAATGTTGATTTCTGTTGGTATCCGTGCGACTTTCTTTTGTCCAGGTATCGGTATAACCACGCCGTGTAGATATTGTGGATTTATATGCGTAGCCAACACTATCATTTATTTAATCATAGAAAATGCTGAACAATGGAGCGCGCCCACAGCTGGTTGTCCTCGCCGCCGTCGTACGAGGTTTTGCAGTCATGCGCGCCGCCTAGGTGGATCAGGAAGAAACTGTTGGATATATATGGTTGTCGCTGGCCACGTGAAAAATTTATACAAAACGATAACGATGGGCGCGTTGCACCCCCCCCCCCCTCTGCCCCTATAAGCTACTCTCTCTCTTCCTCCTCCCCTCTTCTCTTCCTACTACACCATACATTTTTAAAAAACAAAAAAAAACAAAGTTGAAAAAAAATTATGTATAGAAATACTATGTATAAAAAATATTTGAATTCAAATTCAAATTTAAAACGGGTATGTAAACTTTTGACTTATAAACTTTGGGTCTATAAACTAATATTTGAATTCAAATTCATCAGGTGTGTAAACTTTTGACAAGTTTGGGTCTATAAACTTTATATGCATAGAAATACTATAATAAAAGATATTTGAATTTAAATTCAAATTTGAATCGGATATAATTCAAATTCAAATTTGAAATCGGGTATATAAACTTTTGACTTATAAACTTTGGGCCTATAAACTTTAGATGAATAGAAATACTATATCTAAAATAAATATTTGAATTCAAATTTAAATTTGAATCGAATATATAAACTTTTGACTTATAAACTTTGGTTCTCTAAACTTTAAACTTTAGATATATAAACTTGAGGTGTACAAACTTTAGGTGCATAAATTTACTAAAATAGAAAAGTAATATGGCGCCGAAAAAGGAAACCACATGAAGGGAGGGGGACCGCTCTAGGGGTGATCGCTAGGGGCGATCGATCGCCCCTTAGCCTTTCCGACTACTAGTACCGTTTTATATGTAAAGTATATACTGTAGTAAATTACCCAATTTGTAACGTGTGTTGACATTCCTATTTATCTTTTGTGTATGATAACAGAGCATAGTATGTGAATGACACTACTAGAAAACTCATTTTCGGCGTCGTAGGGGATCGATTTTCGCAGGCGGGCAAGTAATTCGGAGCCAAAACCCCGCTGGCAAAAAAAGTACCCGGGGTGGAGGGGGCGGTCCGCTTGCGAAGATTGATCTTTGCAGGCGGACCATATAAGCGTCGCCTGCGAAGATCGATCTTCGCAAGCGGCAGACATCGGACCATATAAGCGTCGCCTGCGAAGATCGATCTTCGCAAGCGGCAGACGTCGTGCGCCTGCGAAGATCGATCTTCGCAGGCGACGCTTATATGGTCCGCCTGCGAAGATCAATCTTCGCAGGCGACGCTTATATGGCCCGCTTGAAAAGATGCCCCTATATAGTCTTCTTCCTCCCCGAGCCCTGTTCATTCTCCCCGAAGTTTCTCACTCCTAAAGTGACTTAAATATAGGGGGAGGTTTTGAACTTCAAATCTTCGGGGGATTTTTCTACGGTACTTATATCTACTCATTTCAACACTAGGTATGCAATTTTTTAAGCTTTTTAGACCTTAATTTGTGATGGATTTATGCATGCAAAATTGTAAAGGAAGAGCTCCATGTTTTTAATTTTATTTCTTTTGATATGTTGATGTTAGATGTATGTGTAATACTTGATGCCTCTTGTTGTAGTGGTTTAATGTGGTAACATAAATTCTCAAATTTTTTTTATTTTTGCTATCACATCCACCACCTAGTTCTAGATCTAGATCTAGATCTTGTCATATACAGAGAGAGAATAAAATTTTAAATGTCTATTTATTCGGTGCAATCAAAAAATAGTTATAGTATTTTGTAATATGCCGATGAAATGATTTTGTAGATTTTCCTAATGTACTAATTTGGCATGTCTATGTAAAAAAAATTGAAATAAACTATGATTTTTTATTAATTTACACTTAACTTTAGTTAATTAGTTTTGAATAGCGATAAGTTTTTTCAATAAACCCTACAAATTTGGTATTAATTGTGCAAATATTTTACGTGTATTTTTTTAGAGATATGGAAAGTCGGGAATGGATGTATCATTGGCCGAGGTTTTTGTCTACATATAGAAACGAAGTGGCTAAATTTATTGGTATTGCTAAGGCACACCCTGAGAAGAACAATATGAGGAAGATAATTTGTCCATGTGCTGACTGTAAGAATGAAATAGCCTGGGACTTTGACGATGCTTTTAAAGTGAAGGAGCACTTAGTAACTCGTGGATTTATGGACAAGTACGAAATATGGACACGTCATGGTGAAGAACAAGTGGACGGGCCTGAAAATGTAGTTCCGACACAAGTTGAAGACATGGTGCATGACGATGGTTCTGTTGAGGACAAAATCGACCTAGAGGAAATGTTACGTCATGCAGAACCCGAGGTACTGATGGGGTCGGCTAGAGGGTTAAATAACTTTGAAGCTTTACAGAAGGCAGCAAAGGAAGTTTTGTACGATGAGTCGAAGGGCTGTGATAGTGAGTTCACAACACACCGGTCAGTTCTTGAACTTATGAGGTTAAAGGCGAGACATGGATGGTCTGATACCAGTTTCAACAGTCTGTTAGAACTTCTACAGAAAATGCTCCCGAGGCCTAACTCACTACCATCCAGCACATATCAAGCAAAGAAACTCATATGCCCCCTTTCACTTGGTGTGGAAAAGATTCATGCGTGCGTAAATCACTGCATACTGTACAGGAAAGAGTACGCTTCTTTAGATGAATGTCCAACATGCGGTGCAAGCCGGTACAAGTCGAATAGCAATACTGGCCTAGAACCCTATGAAGCAACTGAGGGACGACAGAGAAAAATCCCGCAGCTTGTGATGTGGTACCTTCCTGTCAAAGACCGCATTAAACGGATATACTCAAACCCGCGAGATGCGGAACTAATGCGCTGGCATGAAGAAGGACGCAAGAAGGATGGGATGATTCGACACCCGGCAGATGCTCGTCAATGGATAAACTTTGATGCTCAGTATAGAGAGTTTGCTAAAGACCCACGAAACATTAGATTTGCCCTGAGTACTGATGGAGTTAATCCTTTTGGAGACATGAGCAGCTCACATAGTACTTGGCCGGTGCTTCTCACCATGTATAATCTTCCTACCTGGCTTTGTCAAAAGCGAAAATACGTACTACTTTGTATCCTCATACAGGGACCCCGTCAGTCTGGTATTGATATTGACGTGTTTCTTAAACCATTGTTGGAAGATATGGCTGATTTATGGAAAGAGGGATTGAAAGTGTGGGACGAGTACTTAAGGGAATACTTCACAGTGAAGGCCATCATCTTCATGACCATTAACGATTATCCAACAATGTTTTCAGTTTCAGGTCAAATTAAAGGTAAAACAGGATGTGTGATCTGCTTGAATGGAACGTACTATAGGTATCTCCCGGGTTACAACAAGCTTGTGTACATGCGGCACCGGCGGTTCCTACGCACAAATCACAAGTACCGCAAGATGAAGGCAGAGTTCGATGGTACTGAAGAGACTGATCCTGCACCAAAACCTACATCGGGAGAAAAGGTGTGTGCAATGACAGAGAAAATTGTTTGCGAGTTTGGAAAAATGACTAAGAAACCATCAAAGGGGACAAAGCGCAAGAAACCTGAGAAGAAAACGAAGGGAGGGGATAGTAAGAAGCAAGATGACAGTTCGAAGCCAGATGATAAACTCCCTCCCCCATTCAATAAGCATTCCATATTTTTTAAGTACCTCCCGTACTGGAAAGATCTGGAGGTTCAGCATGCCATAGACGTCATGCATCTAGAGAAGAATGTGTTTGACAACATAGTTGGAACATTGTTGGACATGCCGAAGAAGACTAAAGATGGTCTGCAATCAAGGATGAACCTAGTCGAGATGGGAATCAGGGAAGAGTTACACCCTCAAGAAGGAGAAAAGAATGGCAAAGTATATCTTCCACCAGCCTGTTTCACACTGACACCTGAGGAGAAGAAGTCATTTTGCAACTCACTCCGTGATGTCAGAGTGCCCATAGGTTTCTCATCAAACATCAGTCGACTAGTTTCAATGAAAGATTTGTCGGTATCTGGTTATAATTTACACGACTGCCATGTCTTGCTCACCGTGTTTCTTGCAATTGCAATAAGGGCAATAAAACCGGAGCATTTAAAGGTTGCTATCACAAGGTTGTGCTACTTTTTCAACGCAGTGTCACAGAAGGTCATTAGGGCAAGTACTATGGGCATCCAAGTACAATCTCCTAGGTGCCACATAAGCTAAAATAGTGAGGTGGAGTGAGGTGGAGGAGAGAAGAGATGAGAGAGATAAGCAGTCACCTCTCATGCAAGAGGCAACCACTATACAAAATTCAAGACAAAATGAGAGAGAGGAAGAGTAGATTGGGCAAACAAACATTGGGGCTAGTGTATTAGAACTAGTATAGATGTGATATATTGTACATGTTATCTCTACATTTATTAGTTGATGATGTGGTCAAGATTAGATGCAACATCCACCTCTTTTATAAAACCTGCCCTTAGTAGTCTCGAAGAGTTAGGAAATCTCCGTACATTCGCACATGAGACACAGTGCCAACTTGAGATGTGTTTCCCTCCATCATTTTTTGATATGATGGAGCACCTCATTGTTCACATAGTGCCGCAGATGGTTGCGCTTGGCCCATTGTACCTCCATCAAATGTGGTCATACGAGCGTTACATG